AGCCGTGTGTTCTCCCTTCTTTCGGTCTGCAATGAAAAATCACCCTTTTGCATCTCTTAGAAGGTTCCACAGAGTGGTTTTTGCATGTTCTCTGTTGTTTCTGCTAAATATAATGTTAGAGTTGGAGGTAGTTCTTAAAAAGTTGGGCAGGTGTTTAAAAATGTGCAGAGGTGGTGGTTCTCTTAAGAAATGAGAGAAAAAATTGAAAGAAAAAACAAAGAAAAAATTGAAAGCAAAAGAGAGCCACCACCAAAAATCTAAATAGTGCCCATTAAGTAGTGTTTCTTAGTAGTCTGGCTCAGAAATACTAACATTTATGTGACCTCCTTCGCTCTTGTGTCCTCAAGAATTTGAGTAATGCAGAATAGTAGAAAGAAAGTTGCTGGTTTGATTGATTGTGAGTTTCTTGGGTTTGGAAATGTGGAACCTTGTGCTATGAATACTTCCACCACCTAAAAGGCATTTTCCCCATGTCCAAGACCCTAGCCAGTCACTTGAACCTGTTTCTAAGACCTCCGGATTAGTTAGTGATGACAACCATTTATGTGAACTCTAACACTTAGAGGCTGCCGTCATGGTGAATAGATGTTAGGAATTGAGAGAATAAGTATGCACATTTTTCGCATCAAATTGTCCTGACCCCACTAGTCGAGAGTGAGCGATTCATTTCCTTGTTCTTTACACTCTTTACCCCGGTGAGGACCTAGATGGCTCGGTCTTGATTCTAATCTCTTGAATTTTATGCATGAGGTGACTGCCTTGAGTAAGTGGTTGAGTCAAGCCTATGTTGGTTGATGAACAGAAGGGAGAATCCTCCTTTATTCGATTTTGCTGCACTCGAATGTCGTCTGTGGTGGTTGTCCAGGTTGCTATTGAAGTTGTTCATGTGTTGATGTTTGAAAGTCAGTATGATTCATGTGTTTCTGTGCCTATATGATTTGTCCCCAATGTTGGTATGATTGAAATATGTGAGCTTACCTTGTGTCTGACTTGGTTTACTTGGGGACAAGCAAACGGTTAAGTGTAGGGGAGTTTGATAAACCGTTAATTGCACATGTTTTTACCCCTATTCTTGAGCCGTTTGAGATGTCGATTCTCGTGTTTTAGGCCGATTTCACGCTAGGTTGTGCTTGTTTGTGATATTTCAGGTCCTAGTACGTGAATGAAGGTTTGGGAGCGAGTTCGGGGTCGATTGGACGAAGATCGGACGTGTGGCGAGTCGCTGAGGAAGCCACACAAGCACACATAAACCCACACGGCCGTGTAAAGAAGCAATGTGGCCGTGTGGGATTGTGCGAGGCTTCACACGGGCAGACTGGAGGCTCCACACTGCCGTGTGTCCCTGGCCGTGTAGGAAGCCTGAATTTCAATTAATCGAAACTCGGCATTTTGACTCTCACACGGGCATCTGGGTAAGCCACACGGCCGTGTGGCCTGCCCGTGTGAGTCGGGAATTCTGGTTTTTACCCAATTTCGAGCAACAAGTGAGGAAATCGACTTTTCAGAGCAAAAACAGAGTTTTAGAGAGAGAAATGGCAAAGAATAAACCCTAGGAGCTATTTGGAGTGGATTTCTCACCATTGAAGCCCAGATTGCGTCCCCGGGAGTGAAGATTGACATCCCAGAGCAGATTTTCCTCATCTTTATGAGTATGACTACTCTGATTTCTGTTTTCCTCTCTCTCCCTATGGAGTAGAACCCTTCTCTCACTTGGGTATGAAGAACCCTAGTTCCATGTGTCAGGGATTTGATTGTAATGACTTGGGATGATCATACTGTTTGATTTTAATTGAATTATGCATGTTTCATTGAATTAATTGAAGTTTGATCAGCTTTTCTTGATTTCTCCTGCAACCTGAGATAGATAGAATCTAATTAGGTTGTTAGAGCTTCATCATTCGGTAGTAGTGGATTGGTTAATCGAGAGTTAGCCAGTCTACTGCTTTGTACTGGAATCCAATTCCAGTAGTGGAGTTCTGTGTGAATCGCCTTAGCAGTCTATCCCGGTGAAGGCTAGTCGCCTGCCGGGTATTCTGTCTAAGAGGGCTTGGTCAGCTTAAGATATTCCAAGCTACTGTCGGATCTTCCGCAGTCTAATCAACAGTAAATCAACCCAGGGTAAGTACAATTGAGACCTAACTAAGGATCTAGGGGGACTCATTCCCGAGTGACTCTTCCTTTGCTTGAGAAAACCGAACCAATTCCTATTTTCTTTCTGCTTTCAGTTAAGACCAAATTCAATCGACTTAGTTGGCTAGATAATAGATAATCACGGAGTAGACAGTAGATCTAGACCCCGGGTTGATATTTAGAACTTGCCACTTTAATGCATTCCCGGACTGCGATTACACTTGGTCGCAGTTTGGTGTTGTGTTTTGGCGTGTCAAAAAGGTTAGACAGTCCTTAGTCGATTAGGCCAAGAGATCTACCGAGGTAGCTTAATACGAATTCCTTGGCCTAGAGAGCGAGAGAGTGATGTCCCATCGCTAGCTAGACTTCCCTTGCGATTCACAACCACCTCCACCACATGTTTTCATTCATTCGGACAAGTCATGGTAGCTAGTTATGGGGAGCTACACCCGGGTGAATGCTTCTCATTTAGAGTCAAAACCAAATACTTTTACAAACGTGTTAGTTGTATTTCGTAGTTTTCAACAACCAACCAATCGCTAGATAATGTTTCAAACAGTCGAGGTATGGGTAGATGGACCGGCCCGGGTTTATATTTAAATATACTTGCCCTATATTGCACTCAATTAAGGTTTATACTTGGGTCCTAATTGGAAGTTTTATTGTGATATTCGGGATCAGTCAAGGGGTGCATTGGTAATTCCGCCACTACCTATCTTTTGTTTTGTTTGGTGTGACATGGATCCAGATGAGAGAGAGAAGACAATCGCTACTTTTCCTAATCTTGATTTTTTTAATATGATTTTAGACTAACTCCAACCCAAAAATCCAAATTTAGGTTCTGAAAAATTTAAATATGACTTTTAAGCTTTCCAAACCCCATTTTCAGTACCAAAGGTAAGATAGCCTAAAGGTAAAGCTACCGCGATAGTGAAGGTTTGTGAGTTGTAGATCCCAGCTTCGAATCCAAGCGAGGCCTGTTGGTGTTCTCGTAGGTATAAGACTGCTGAAGGCATATCCCCATTGGTATCGAATTGATTGTAGGTGGCCCACAGTTTAAGTAGGCTCCGCTATCACAAAGTGGCACGTGAGGCTGAGGTTCCTGGGTAATTAACAAAGCGCATTTTCACTCCAACCCAACAAAAAACTAAAATTTAGTTTCTCACATTCATTTTTCCATTTATTTCAATAAATCATACTTATTTGGTCTCTAATTTTTATATTTCACTTTATTTTTTTTATAGTTCGTTATTACTTTTTAAAATAAAATTTTTATGTTATTTTTTTAAATTCCTAGACAAAATTTTTTTGAATATTATTCGGTAATTTGTTACCTTTAACTCTGGTATGACTGTTTTTTGTAGTCGTAACTTTACTACCATGTTTTGTCATTTTGTGCATCATATGTTACCGAACTCACATTGATCGTGAAAGTGTCGAATGTAATCGCCATCTTATGAGGGATTACTTCGATTCAAATCCAGCATACAATGCTCCCATATTCAGAAGGCGCTATAAGATGAAGCCAAGATTATTCCATCGCATTATGCTCTAAGGCGCGATATCTTTGGTCAACTATCACTATCTCTAGAGCAGAAGCTTACTGGTACGATGTGCATGCTAGAATATGGTTTCCTAGTTGATCACTTGATGAGTATGTCGGTATGGGGGAGAGCACCTTGATGAACATCTTCAAAAAGTTTTGCAACAACATTATTAACATGTACGAGAACACATACCTTCGCACACCTAATCCTGTTGATTTAAGGATCTTACTCCGTAAATGCTCAAGTCATAGCTTTCCTGGAATGATTGGATCAATTGACTGCATACATTGGGAATGGAGGAATTGTCCAAGTGGTTGGACAAGACAATACACTACCAACAATCATTTTGGAGGGGGTGGCCTCCTACAACACATGGATATGACATTCTTTCTTTGGTTCATCGGGATTGAATAACGATATAAATATTCTCGCGATGTCTCGAGTGTTTGATATTATCGTCAATGGAAGCGATCCACATGTACGATTTGAGATAAATGGTCATGCCTACGATCAACGTTATAATTTTCCTGATTTAGCCATCATGGTCGACTTTAGTGAAGATCTTCAGCAATTCAAGGTCAAACTAAGAGGTTTTGTTTGCTCAACATCAAGAAGCACACCACAAAGATGTAAAGAAAGTATTTGGAATTCTCCAAACAAGATGGGCAAATGTTCATGGCCTTGCAAGAGCTTGAGAAGTTGTCACACTTAATAATATAATGTTGACGTGCATTATATTACACAACATGATAATCGAGGATGAGCAAGTTGGTTCAGACGAAGAGATGGATGATGACCTTGATTACGAGCAATGCAATCAAAAGCGCGTTTCTACGTAGAAGCGTTTTGGTGATATAGAAGCATAAAATCGTAAGCTTTTAAGCTTTAAAATGCATTTTTAACTACAATAGCTATAAAAAATGAGATTTTGCGTAGAAGCATTTTGGTGACCCAGAAGCGTAAAAGCATAAGTTTTTATGTTTTAAAACGCGATTTTGACTATATTGATTATGAAGTCCATGAACAACCTCAACCAATCAACTGAAATCTTTCAAATCTGGTTGATTATTTGGCTAGAAATAACAGGATTTGCTCCTCAACAACACATCATGCAATTTGAAATGACTTGGTTGAGCATATTAGAAATTTGCATGCACTTCGAAATGAGCGTTGTTTCATCACTACATCAATTATTTCTCATTCAAATTTAAAATACATTCAAATAAAACAACCACCAATGACAAAGGGGAAAGTGAGGAAAAAAATGGGTCTATTGTCGCTGGTCGAGACAGACGCAAAGCATGTGCCGCGGGCATGCCCACTTTTTCCCCTAGCCATTTATAGCTTCTCACTTAGAAACCTAGTAAAATTTGGCTCCTCAACACCCAATACCCATATTTGCCAAAATACTGGTATACATTTTGGTATGAGGTCTTATGTTTGACAGTATAATGTTGGTATGATCAAATTATTCTTGACAAACATAAGACTTCATCCAACATCATGTTACTATCATACCAACATCATATCAACATTATATCACTAATATCAACATCATACCACTGTGATATCATATCACTGCTAGTGGTAATATTGTGAGCTGCTAGTGGTAGAACGACATAAAATATTTTGTTTCAAAAAATATCAAAATGGATATCATCTTGTAGAGCACAAAAATATGATTTTCCTGTGAAAAATTATCTGAAATCCAATGTAAAACAATTGTGATAAGGTCCATTAAATTTTTGGAAGAGATTTGAAAAGTGCTTTAACAACTACCTAGGAATTCGTGTCAGTCACTCAAAATCTGGTTAGCTGTCCAAAAAATCCAATCAACCTTGTCTCATATTTTCTACTTTTGCTCTTTACCCCCTACAAGCTCTCATTCTCAACCATACATAGAGGTTTTGCAGGACTACAAAACTCGTGGTATTGTATCCTTACCAACCCTTAATTAATCTCATATTTCTTAGGTGTTTAAATGTCATAATCATCAAACTTCTGCCATTTTGGGTTGATTTTGTGGTTACATTCACTTAAATCTTCATGCCTTAAAATTCAACATGACTTTATCATTTCTTGTACATTTGGCTCATAACTCGTTCATTCTCATCCTATTTTAGACTTGTACTTTCTTTCCAAATCTCAGGCCCTAGCATGATAAGGAACGAGCGTATCAAGTTTCATGCTCATTGAAATTTGTTTGAAGGTTGAAAAGAATGTGAAAGAGGCTCAAGCTTAGGTTAGGTCATGGTTAGAGCACGACCGTGACCCAAGCCACGACGTTCATCACAACCAGAGATCTTCGCCGTGAACTGCATGTTTTGGCCATGTGTGTGAGCAATGATGAGTACAAAAGGTCTCACAGCCAACCTCATGCCCCTGAAAAACTAGACCGCGAGATGGCGACCACGAGAAAAGATCTCATGCGTGGAATTGAAAATTTTCTTGTGAACATGGTTACGACTTGGTTGAGTCCGTGACCTTGCCCTAAACATGAATCTGCTTTTCAAAAGTTCATGGGATCTGGCCAAAGTTCATATTCGTGAACTTCACCGAACCCTAAGCCGTGAACTCTACCTTGTGCACAAATATATAAGTACTTTGGGGCTCTTTTAAAGCAACAGGAGGCATCATGGAGTGTGGAAAATATAGGGTTAGAGATCTAAAGTGAGAGTGATGTGTTAGTAGAGGTTTTGAGTGACATTTTCCTCATTGTAACCCCATATCATCTTGAGATTTAAGAGTGGTGCTCAAGTCAAGAAGGAGAAGATGGATCTAACATAAGATTGTCATTTTTTCTACTCCTTGTACTGTGTATGTGTGTTCTATGCTCTCTTGTTGTTTAGGAGTTATGTGTTTGTATGTATGAATTATTGTTACCGTATTATCTATGTCTATTTGTCGTTTAATCAATGCCAATCTCTTGCTTTGATAAAGGTGGCTATTTTTTTAGTTTTTAGCTAAGTTGATGTGATTATCCCCATAGGTCAATACTAGAACCAAGGATTGTGAAACCGTAGCTGAAGATAATACCGAAAATTAAGTGGTAGAAATTTTATACTAAAACAAGGGTTCAACTGTTTTCTACCGTTAAAACCATGTGCCTACCATTTTGGGTCTGGTATCCTGTATATCTGGTCCAACCGGTCGGTACGAATTGGTTTGAGAGTCTGGACCAAATCATCTAGGTATGTAGTTAGTTATATGCCATTGAGCTAACATAGATAGCTAGAAATGTGGTTGTGTGGCATGACCATTGCAACAACCACTAATACAAACCTAAATGAACAAGAAACCAAATAAGGTAAAAGTCTACTCTAAAAAGGTTTCAAAATTCGGACTCAAACTCTCTTTCTTCACGCAAAAGTAAGCTTCCAGCAAAACAACTTTCGTAGTAACATCGTGCCATCCGTTCGAGGCCTTCCAGATCTCCATTCTTTCATCCAATTCATTACCTTGGTAGAAAAACATACCTATTTCATGTCGTGGAAGCTTTTGGACTCGAATAAGATCCATGCTCCTCGAATTGAGCTCCAAAGTAGGCTTCACAAACCAAATTTCTACCATAGCCATTTTCAGCTTTCCATATAGCATTATTGGATGCTTGAAAAATGGTCTTAATGGTTCTTCTGGATCCAAAATCCATACCAATGTGTACAGGGTAACTTTGTCTTCAAAACAAATAGCTAACCTCGAATTTCAACCGAGCTAATTGAGAGAACCATGCCTCCAAAGTAAGTACCATGAACTCGGAATTTGACTTAGCCAAATTCTGCCTCTTTTCTTTCCAACCTTGATAGCTTCTTTGGCAAGTATTTTTGGATTGTAGAAGTGGCCAAGTGGGATCATACTTCAATCTTATAAATGACATACCATAATCTTATCACTGTGATAAGAATTCATACTACCATCATACCAATATCATATCATAATAATAACATAGCGTGTAAGACTTCATACAACCTAGAACACTACATATCAAACTATTAAACATATCTGGGGCTCTGAAGGGCGCTTGGCGCCAAGATACATGAATCTTCAGGTATTAAAATCCAAAATATAATTTCAATAATTCATAACTTACACACTAATATTATTATAAATAAATATCTTGTGTCTGACACATTGGTCGACACATAAGATGAAAAGCCAGAAAATGATAGTGGTTGTAATAAAGTCAGTGATAGGGGAGCGGAACCCATAAGTAAACTTGTGGCGAGTAATTATGAGTAACCCAACCATAATCCGCCATATCAGCATCCATTCTCTCTCATGTAAAGCTTTTAAACTGAGATATTTTTACCAATTTACACCGTATGGTATTGATTGATATTAAATAAAAGCATATCATATGGTATGAAAGCGTACCATGGTGGTATGAACATACCAGACTGTAGGATAGTTGAATACATGATAATAGAAATATACTAACTGTCATTTACGACTTTCAACATTGTGTACCAAAAGATATCACCCACATACGGGAGTGGTATGGTATGATATCTTTTTATCCTGTATTTTTTCGCCCAGCAGTTTGTAGATCATGATGTACTCGTTCCTTTTGTGCAAATATTTTAAAAAATGACTAAAAACAAAGGAGATACCATATGGTACGAAGTTGGTAACGAAAGGTATGATTTTTTTTCTCAAAAAATATTGAAAATTGATCTATTTGTAGAGCAAAAAGAACTCGTTTCATCTGTGAAAAAAATTTGAAATTCGAGTTAGAACATAAAAGATTTGATTTGATTAAAAAAAATAGGGAAAATAAAATGATATTAATTCTCAACTCTTAGATCTGCAACCCACTTAGAAAGAAGGGTACATACTTGATTACTCTTGTTAAGTACTATCTATCTTGACCCCACTGATAGAGTGCATAACATATGTTTAATTACTTATTCTTAAATCACCCAATTTTTTGGGGATAAATCCAATGACCCGGATCTCGGGTTGAGTAGGTATATACCAAAAATATGTAGCCCATATATTCTAATATTTGTTGTCTCAAACTATTAGAGCACTTCTACTATGCTATATAGTATTGGTGCTTTAATGTACAATTTAAAGTTGTACCATAACATTAAATGTATAAGTTTAGGTTGTACCATAAAGCAATTTGTACTATTATGTTGTGGTACAACTTTACAACTTGAAGTTGTACCATCACATAAAGGTACAAGTTCAAGTTGTACCATAAAAGAATTTGTACAAAAAGTATAGGTACAATCTGAAGTTGTACCATAACGTAAATGTACAATTTTAAGTTGTACCATAAAGACAAAATCCTATAGCACAAATACTATATAGCATTGTAAAATTTCTCCAAACTATTAACCATACAAATACATCTCTTTTTAGGGTCATAATTAAGCATATTATTCAAATCGACGAAATCACTCAAACCAATGAAGTTAAAAAATTTAACAACACCAATTATACAAATTGAAAAAATCAAATTGATTAAACTATATAAACCATAAATGTAGTCAAAAGCGTGTTTCCACGTAGAAGTGTTTTATTGATCTAGAATTCTAAAACCGTCAGCTTTTAAACTTTAAAGTATGTTATTAATTACATTAACATGTGATTTTACATAAAAGCGTTGTGGTGACATAAAAATATTAAACGCATGTTTTTAATATTTAAAACACAATTTTAACTACATTAATAACCACCATGTTTGAACACCGTAATCCGAACCACCCTAACAACAACGTGTGCATACTTAAGAAATAGTACATGGAGGCTGGATGTAGTGCTTTAATGTCTTAATTAATATTCGACTCTATGGGTTACAACATTCATATCGGTTGTGCAGATGGGCTTGAAATTGTATTCTGAAAACATATTAGAGTCTTGTAACAGCCCAATAAGAAATGGATACCTGTCGGCCCACCCGAAGACACGTAGCTTGTCATCCTTGTATGGATCATGAAATTGATGACAGAAGCAAGAAGCAACTTACCACATCCCAACTAAGAGAGTAAGAGATCCAGAAATGATAGTACTATGAAGGAGGGTATTTCGATACCCATATTCGTTATTTGGTAGGTCGAGTTCAGGTTGGATAATTTATTATGGGGCGTGAGTTGGGGCAGGTTGACCCAATGAGTATGTAATTTATGCAAAATACATTAGAAATATTCGTTATTTTCATGAAAAGACCAAGAAAATATATCATAATATAATAAAATATATTTAAATTACTGTAGAGATTGAGGTTATCACTTACTTACAGCTTTATTATAGCTAAAATATGACGTAATAAGAGGAAAATCATAAGTAATTTGACTATGATCACACGTAATTTAAGCGAGAATGAGTAAGGAATGGGGCGTGTCAAGGCAGAGCAGGTCAATGAGAGGTACAAATGCCTGTCCGTCTCAAAACAGGTAAAACGGGTCAGGTCGAAATTGCCATTCCTAGATAGTATATAGATAATGAAGTTCATGCATACAAGTTGTGAGAAAACAAGTTGTAAAAACAAACAAATGTGCATGCAATCTGCCCCTCTCTTGATCAGGAACTTATAAGGTTTATGAACAGCTGAGTTGTATATTATTGATGTAAGGGTATATATATACCCATAACAACGTTTACAGTATACCAGAGCTTCGAACCGGAGACCATGTGATTGTGTGGGCTAACACACAAAGCCACAACGTTTACAGTATACAAGTAGGATAATGAGGCAGAGCACAAGTAGAAGTAGGAAAACTAGGTAGACAAAGACTTGTCCCTTATAGAACTGACCCTAGAAACGTTAGCCCGTAAAGCCAACATGCACATGTTGCGACCTTTATTCCCTTCAAAAGGTAGACGAAGTACCAACATAAACGTATATAGAAGCCAAGACGAGCTGGATAATTTGGCAGAGCACAAGTAGAAGTAGGAAAACTAATAAACATTTAATTTAAGCCCCATTGTCCATGGCCAGCATAGCGTTGAGGTTCATTGGGGAGATGACCTCTGGAGGACCAGCCAAGACGAGCTGGACTATGATCCCGTTCGCCCTGTCCGTCAGATGGATGGGATCCCAGTTCACATACACATCCCGGTTCGGGCATAAGTTCGACGCTGGTGTGCACTGTCCTTCCCCGTTATAACGGCCCTGCCCGCAACACGCCACCCTTGTTTCGGTAAACCCTGGACAACATAGTAAATAGTAATTTTCATTTTAATTTCATTGCGTGAATATAAATTTTGAATTTCCCCCCAAATTACTAGAGTTCGGTTCAGTTTGCTTGTACCAAAAGTGAACGGGTATATTATATCTCCGAAGTAAAAAAAGTTTTGGTTTAATCGATGGTCACACAAGTGATATGGAGGATATATCGCTGGAGTAACCAGCGATCCAACCTAGAAAATCGCAGCACTCACAAGCGATCTTCTAGGCACTTTAATACTTCAACAATATAATATACTTTTGAAACCAGCGAACTGCACCAAACTCTAATTGTTTGGAATTTTTTGGTGTAGATGTTGGATGTTGGGAATTAGTTTTGTTAACCTTGGTAGTAATTTGCGGGAAAAAAACCTTAAATTTCTTACTGTTGTAATAAACTTTGTTAGATGATATTTACCATAAGCGGCAGCGTTGGTGTATAAATCATAGATACATCGATTGGTGTCGGCAGCAAGGAAGAAAACGCCTCCAAACTCGGTGTTCAGATACTGGGCCATCTTAACCACCTCCGCGTTGAAGAGCAGCGCAGCTCTCTGGAGCTCCGGATCGCAATCCCCGTTCCTGCTCCTCGCCGCCAGCGTCGCCGGCACGCACCCCAAGGGGCCCACGCCGACGATCATAACCCGGCGAGCCCCGAGCTGGTAGAAGCTCCGGAGGTAGTTTGTGTACACGGAGATCAGGTAAGCGATGAAGTCGGTGAGTACCGGGTACTGGCTGGCCCGGGCAGAGAATGGGAGGCGGTAATAGTTGGATAGGAAATCCCAAGTGCCGACGGTGACGAAGAACACTGCCTGGTTCATTAGTCGTTCAGCCTGCGCGTTCCCTCCGACGACTCCTGCCAACCGGCTCCGGTATTGCCTGAACGATGCTAGCTGCTCGGGCATCGTTATTCTGTTCCCCTACGTTCACCATCAAATGCATGCAGGCAACAAACATATAAATAAAAATTAAGAGTACTTCTACTATGATATAAAACATTGGTGCTTTAATGCACAAGTTGAAGTTGTACCATAACGTTAAATGTATAAGTTCAGGTTGTACCATAAAGAAATTTGTATCATTATGTTATGGTACAACTTTACAATTTGAAGTTGTACCATGACATAAAGGTACAAGTTCAAGTTGTACCATAAGACAATTTGTAAAAAAAAATATAAGTACAATATAAAGTTGTACTATAACGTGAAATGTATAATTTCAAATTGTACCATAAAAGCAAAATCTTATAACACCAATACTATATAGCATTGTAAAATTCCTCACAAATAAAAAATACTTAGCTTGTTTATAAATTTAGTATGGGCCGGGTATACACTTTTATTAGGGAAAAAAGAAGTGCAAATTTTCAGTGAACTTCAACTTAATTTCATTGAATCTGTTGACCCACATGCAACTCTGGGATCTGTTCTACTAAAGAATTGCTCTTATCTCGTGAAAAATTAGCTGATTCCAATTCTCAATAACTGGAGTTATCAAGAGAGATTTAATTATGAACCATATGCTATTTACTAGCCAACACACCATCTCAAACGAAAGACAATTGAGAAGTGTTAGAAATTTGTATAGATCCGGATATCGAGATTCGAACAGAAGATCTATCAGTCATAGAAGGTTCTAATACAATATCAAATACCGATTAATATAAATAACTAGAGTTGTTGGATGATGTTGAACTATAAATCATTTAGTAACAGACCGGCCTAAAATCATAAAAAGAAAGCTTACTTCCTGGACTCCGGTGTCATTCAAGATCCCAGTGGCCGGGGAAGCGAAATTGGCACAGTATAGCAGCCTTTCCCCGTTAAGCTGTGGGCTCAAATACGGCGAGGGGGTCTCCGGCAATCTAAGTGCGACACCTACGTAAGGTTCCATTCTCAGCATGCATATATATATGATAAAAGCAAATCGCATTTAAATAAGAAAAACGAACGATGATGCATGTCTCATGCATGCATTGCATATACGTACTGAGGTAATCGGCCATGTTGCGGTAATTAGTGAAGCGGCCGGTGGGGCGGGCGGTGGGAGAATCGATCCCGTAAGGAGGGGAATCTGCGCGAACGGTGGTGTCCAAGTATATGTTGTTCCCAAAGTCTGAATACGAATCGCCAAACACACACAGAGGCACAATATCATAAGGCGGGGTCGGGCTGGCACCCACCTGGACAAGCAGCAGGCTGCAGCCCAATATGGCTAGGCCCACTACTGCTACTGGGCCTAGCATCTTCGCCATTGGGGAATGGGCAGCCATGAGAGATCAGGAAGGCAAGGGGATCGGAGTAAGAAAGAAGCAAAGGAAATATGGAGATAAAAGAGCTTAATCCACGTTCGATTGAGGTCCGACGGGGTGCTGATCTCGAGAGGCTTATATAGTACGTGCAAATGGTAATTAAATGATCTCTCTGCCCGCATTGTAGGTAGCCAGTCCGTCGTAACACATCACTCTAAATTGCCCTCATGTGAATGATGATCGATGAACCAAACACAACCACAATAGTTATAGATGTAAGGGAGTGGTTAAGTACCACATCACTTTCAATGCGTTGATTTATTAGGATTGGTTGGTTTACCACATGATACTAGAACTAGTTTGTACTTGACGCACGTGTACAAGTCCTCATGATTCTCAATATAAGTCATTGTCTTTAAAGCACATGATATGGCTGGCTAGTACAAATTTTAATCTCATAAATTAATTTTTTATTTTAAATGGTATATACAAAATTGATTAAATACCATACATGAAGCTATTTTACCAAACAACTAACTAAATATAACGGATCCAAATTTAACTTGGTATAAATGTGAAAACACACATTACTCTGATCGATTACTTTCTATTCCCTCCCCACGTACGTCTCTCTCTCTCTCTCTGCCTGTCTTTTCTTTCTTCATCTGTTCCTTTTCTCAGGTCCACTTGCACACACAACACAAACTCATCACCCCCATACTTCTGGTGGTTGTCTTATATAGAGGAGATATCATATTACATATCTTCCATTTCCATGCCTCCGTTTTCAGTTTCCAGATTAAGAGAGCTATATATTCATCTTTTTTTCGCTATAAATATCAGGAGGAGTTTGTGTTGTGTTTGCAAATACCGGAAGTGAAATGAAAGAAAAGGAAAGGGGGATAGAATAGACGAGGAGGAGATCGAGGCAGAGGAAGAAAAGGATGACAATGAGACCATAACCGAACTGGTGGTGTGTTGTTGTGTTGGACGGTCGGCGACGTGTGGGCGCACCCGCCGGTTGGTGAGGTTGTGCTCTTTTTTTACGTGATTGTTGTTATCAATATTTGAACTAGCTTTGGGCCCGCCCCCATTGTTTAGGAGACTTTAGACTGAAAAATGACAATTTATATAATTAATATGAGAAATGTATGTAACATGTGTTTTTTTACTTTAGTTATGTTCAATTATACTTTACAATATAATGAGAAGAGGAGAAATATGATAAATATAATTTTTCGATCTATATATATATATAGTGACTACTTTGGTGCACTCACAAAAATGAATGCGTTCAATGCACCGAATTCAAAAATTACTCTTAAGGTGTCGGATTTAATTTGTAGAATTAGTGTAATATGATGATATAACACATGATCACAACTAATTAATGTATTATCCTAAGCCCTAGACCTCCAATTTTGAGTTTTATCCCTAAGCCCCAGATTGTAAACCCTAACCCTAAACCTAAATCTCTAAACTCTAAATTTTTCAAATCAAAATAAATCTTTAATGGTTTTTATGCAAATTCATGTGAGTTATTGTTCATCACATCATAAGTAATGATTGACATCATTTTGACATAAATCACATGTTTAAAATGACGGTTATGAAGCGAATGCACTGAATGCACCCAAAAAAGTGAGTGTACTAAAGACGTCACCACATATATATATATATATATATATATATATATATATGGGGAGTTCTACCGTACCCTGGGTGAAATCCGGGGTACCGCATACCTTGAGTAAGAAAACGTTATCCAGAACTTGAATTGACTGATCTTTCGGACATGATACTATACTCTAACCCTTAAAGATCAAAATCTAGGTCTTAATTTTCTAAATCTTATACCCTAAGATCAATTTAATTAGAAATAATAATCGACGGTTATGATTCGTCCAAATATAGGCAAAACAATGAAGGCACCATCTTAGAGTTTATAGTTTATGATTTAGATAATTAGGACCTAGGGTTCACTCATTAAGCGTTAGGGTATAATATCATGCCCAAAACTCCTGCTAATTCGAGGTCTAGATGGCCTTTTCATACTCAATGTATGCGGTACCCCGGATTTCACCCGGGGTACGGTAGAAGGCACCATATATATATATATATATATATATATATATATATATGGGTCACATTCATATGCTCCTGACGCATAGCATGTGATAGATTCTCTAAACCGTTGATCTAATCTAACGGTACAATATTAAATGTATTAAAATTAAGGGTTAATACAATATATTAGCCACAACTATTATGAAGCGGGGAATTATAGCCACAACTATGAAAATTCAAATTATTAGCCATAACTATTGTTGTAGGCCAAGATATGGCTAACTGTCTGTTACTGTTGTTGAATTTTTGACGGAGAAGGCCACGTCATCGGCCACGACAACGGCCATGTAGGAATGCTTTTAGTTTATAACTTCAAAACATAAAAGTTTAGTCAGTATTCCTAACGAAACTGTTAACAGATAGTTAACGTTTGGCTAATAATTTGAATTTCAATAGTTGTGGCTATAATTCCCCGCTTCATAATAGTTGTGGCTAATATATTGTATTTACCCTAAAATTAATTATTGATTAATAGTTATATTCACGAACTACATCCACTATTTTTTTATACATACGTTATATGCTCTCGAATTTTAATGGTTACATTTTATGTTAAACTGCCTAATTTCTTTTCGCCATTGTATAACACTCCTACAATTTTATTTGCTACATTACATTGATGATTAAATTCTGTCATCAACCAGAACACGAGGTAGTCATTAATTATCTCTCTTTCGTAAGCCATTTGTGGCCATTTGCAAAACCCCTCCCCCACTTCCACCAGTTCATCATCAAAACCAATTCCAAGCAGTCATCCCTTAGTGACTAGTAAAAATCCCTAGCTTTCCTTCTCTCTCTATCGCCGGAACTCGTTCGATTTGTGTTCTTCCCCTGCTCATGGCTGAAGTGAGTGAAAGCGGAAACGACGTCGTATAATCAATTAAGCGGGGAAAGAAAACATTGTAGAATCAAAGTATGTGGCTTTAAAGACTTTTGAATTGGAAGAACAAAGGATGAAAAAAAACTGAAAATATTATTAAGGATTTGGAATGAAGTACGTCATTCTGCAGAATCAATCTGCTTTTAACAAGAAAGTAAAGAAGAAGATGAAGAACATAAAAAAAGACCCTAGAACCCTCACAATACTTGGTACCCATATTTCGATCACTATAACCCACCCGGCTATCTAGATCCTAATCACTATAACTCAAGCTATTGTAGGAAACTAGGAGAACCCAGCACTCTTAGATTACCCAGCCATAGTTCCTTTAATCTACAGAGTAAACAAGCAAACCTGGACCCATCAACAACCCAAAAGAATCCTTCATTCTCGTTGCCGAACCGTCAGTTATGGAGAAGGAGGATGGAGTTGTTTAAATAAGCACTTGAAGTAGCTTGATGGTCGTTGATGTTGTAGCTTGAAGTCCGTTGGTGTAGACTGTAGATATGATGATGAATCTTCGAAAACATTGATTGAGAAACACTAGGGAAGCAACTGTCATTGTTTTAGAGGAAAAGGTGTTCTGCTTTTGGGGTTCTGTTTTTGGAGCTAGAGAGACAGTGACAGCAAGGCGAAGGACGACATAACAGGATGATTGCGAACTCCGGAAAGATTTGGGCTGAAATTACTGAAGTGGGTTGAATGGGCTTATGGTCCGGTTAATTCAGTCAACAATTTCCACCTTCGTTCAAGCCTTGGTGAGCTGAACTGCAAAAGAAACAAACAGAACCACAATAGACAACACAAAGGTGTGTCCAGAACACAAGGAAGAGTACACAAAAGATATTGCAAAAAAAAAAATCGCATACAAAGGCAGTGCAAGCACAGTTCTACAGATGAGACAACAATCACAAATTGAAAGTTCATAGAGAGTGAACATGCCAAGGGTCAGAAGCTAGTCATGAAAGCAGCACAAAGGGAATCCACAAACACAATCAATTTGCAACAACACCTTGATAAAAGAAAGGAGGTTCCCCTGGAAATAAGCAGACAATAATGTTTTTGCAACAATACATAGATGGCAGAAGATAGGTTCCCCTAAGAAGGGGATCTATGGATTAGGAGAGGCAGAAGCAAGTTCAGGATATGAATTGTTGCTTTTCATTTAAAGTCACTAATTCTCAATAAGGTAACCAGCTCATAGCATACTAATAAATCATTTAATTAACTCATGTCTGTGCAAGAAGAGGTTTCCAAGTGTATGTTCAAAATATGCAGAGACACTTTGATGAGATCACACACAAACTTTCAGTGTACTGACCTTTGAGCATGCTACCTTTGAACATAAAAGCACTTTGACAATGCAGTTAGTTCAAAACGTTCATAATAAATACTACCTATGTACGGCATACAAGCTTATCAACTTTACAACATAGGCTTATAATAATCAAATAGCTCTCCCATGCTCCTTCAGACTTTCCAAGAGCATTAACCATGTAGCAATTTCATTCCAAATCAAAGGAAAAGCATTTAGATTGCCACATCAATTAATACACTCTTATTATGTGGTTCAACGAGTTAAGTAACCATGAAATATCCAATGTCAGTTAAGGAATAATGAATTAACCATAAAAAGACAGCAGTGTCCATGCACTAAAAGCAAGTTGTCATTTGAAGATGATGAATGATTAAACCCAGAGCAAGTATTAGGAGCTTGCAAGATTCCCCTGAGATTATGCTCCCCCTTTCAGAAAGAAAACTTTTCTTAAACAATGTGCTGGACAATAAGCACATCATCTTATTTACAAGGAGTTCCAATTTCCACCTTGTCAAGTCAATGTTGCAGTAGCTGAAGAATCTCAGCATATTAAAGTATTATGTGATATCATAAATCCATTTTCACAAGGAAAATGCTCTGAACACAGGCCTTACCATATGATTTTCTATGAATTCAGATCAAGCAACAAGCTATCAACCATATTTTCACATTTTCTAAAAACAGAGTTACTTTATAACATGCTGAGCATCATAATTTATAACATTTGCAAATGCTCACATACATTTACTTCAGGTTTTTAGTGTTCACAAGTTATGATTATTTATCATCTGTTAGCAAATCATAATAACCAAGGTGCAAAAGCAACAGGGGACATCAACTTGCCAATCTTGCAAACACATAAAACACCCGGGTAGCTTTCGCAACCAAATATAAAGCCATAAGTCATAATAAAGACAAAGTTTGGTGCAACACATGCTTAATTGATCAAGTTTAAGGTCAAATAGATATAATATTTTTTTGCTGAATTGTAAATTCCCCCTATGACGGGCATCAGTAGGTTTGGATTGGCATAAGCAAGTTCAGGGTATGGATGACTGCTTTAAACTAAGATTACTAACTCTCAACAAGGCAAACAGCTCATGAGTCATTTAATCAGTACAAAGCAGTCAACAATCTATTCAAGTAGCCACCATGAGAAATCTAAACACTGCAAACGTACTGTAGCCAACTTCAAAAGTACTCGAGAGTTTGCATTTTAGGACCCTAGGATAGGCGACTTCTAACATTGATGAGAAACACACAAATCAGTATAGAGCATTGCCTTAAAGCATGACATTAGCAATAGTTTAAACCATGTAGTAACCTTATTCGAAGAACTGAAGGAATTCGTTTCAAATATGCAGTTCAAGAAAATAGGTTAATCTATCCAGATTTGAAAGCACCTAAGAAACGAAAAGTTCATCTAAATTTCCAGCTTCGATCACAATCATGTGCACGAAGACATTTACACTCTCGTCCCTCTTGATTTTGCAGCAAAGGCGATTCTTATTATAGATATAAAAGGATTCTGGTGTAATATAGCAGAGTCCAACGTTAAAGACTCCATTTCGTTATCCAAACATTCTCATATAGCAAATATATATAATTCAGCATAGAAAGCTGGCTTGGATGCATATTCTAGCAATTCATTTCACATACACACGTTCATTATGATGGATTAGATAGAGAGAATATGTGTACAGGAGTCCAGTTGTACTTATCTCGAGGTCGAAGGAGCCATTAATAACTTAGGATAGCTCATTATAGTGGATTGATGGCTATCCCTCATAAAGACTTTTAGGATTGATTTTCGGGGAAGAGTACTCCTAGCTAACAATTTTCCACCAGCTGACAGCTAATGATCCATCTCTCATGTAAACTGATTTTCAATGGCTTTTCCATCCTTTTTAATTGAGTCATGAGAGCTACCACTTAACTGCAAACAGAGACCACACCAGCAGAAACACAAACACAAAGCAGACTGCAAAAATGGATATCTTCTAGAATAACATCCAAGATCAAGAAACATAGTCGTCTAAAAGATAAATATCTGTAACCTTGATTCCTTGAAATGGGTCGAGAGAGAGAAATTATCGTGCAGTCACAGTTCTTAGACGTCAGAAAGTAAAGGTTCAATCATACCAGCAAAGTTGAACACCCACAAAAATTTAATCACCGTGATTTGAAAAGAATAGCAGCAACAAGAAACTTGTTATCTTAGGAGGCAGCTGTAACGCTATGGATTAGGGCAAAGAGAGAACAAGTAGATTTATGCAGCTTGAGCTTGAAAAATCAATCATATAATTTCAGGATTAAAATAGTTCCCCCTAAGACCGACATCCATATCCATAAGGGGTTAGCAAAGAAGGGTTCGATTAATAAGCTCTTCAAATAAACCAATAACGCACAGAGCATACAAGTAGAATCCAGTTATACCCATACCATGAAGATACGGTAAAATGAGCGTAGATGCTACTGCTACTTTAATCCCATGAGGCAAGAATACTTACAGTATCAGCAGATCAAATAATTGAACGCTCAAAAACACAAGGCGGTCCTGATTTCTGAAGCTTGCTTCACCTTTGTAGTATTTCCCCCTTTTTCATCAAAGGAGAAAGCCAAACTATTTGGGTTGTGCCATCTGAACACCCATCTAAGTAATCTTTCTTGAAGTCATATTTTAACATATATGGTATTCCACTCATTAGACGAAAACACAATCATAAAATGTTCTAGGATTAGAGTGAGGCTTGTATCAGATGAAAGGAGTTTACTAATAAAGAGTGAAACTTGCTGTCCAAGATACTCATTAATCTTAATGCAACTCATTTAAAGTACACAGCAAAATGTTCACTCAGTTGTGCAGCCTCACTAATTTATGCAAAATTATCAATATTGTGATCTGGGTATCCAAACTAGTTTGAATACCTTGTTATGAGAATACTTACATGGTTTATCAAACCATTTATTTTCATGCCCAAACCTGCAATTTTAACTTATGTGTGTTGGTTTGTGACACCAATAACATCTCAAGTTATTTTTCTTTAAAACAGAAACACTCTTGTTGTTTAGGAAACAGTATCGACTAGTATGACCTTGTTTATTGCACGCATGACATATAACATCTCTAATCGACATAAATCCAGAAAGATGAGAAATATTGGCTTGATTTCCATTATCTGACTCTAGTAACAAGCATTTATTATCAGCAGCGGATAGTTTACTTCTCAGTGAAACATTTTCAGCTTCTAAGCAAGCTATCATAGTCGTTAGACCTTCTAATTCAGACGCAAGATCAGAACCTTTGTCAATATCATTTTCTTTCCTCAATTTTTCCAATTCAACCATTAGAACTGAGTTTTCACCAACAAAAGATTCTGCTTTGTCATCAGAGATCATTTTTTCATGTTTTAGTTCCTCTAACTCTCTTTTCAGTTCAAAGACCTCATCTTCAAACTCCTCCTTTAGGTTCTTAAACCTAACACCAAGTTTTAAATACAAACTTTGAACTCTAAGGATGTCATCAACAAGTTCTGATTTTGTAACTTCAGAGTAGCTAGATGAGCTATCATCAGATTCATAATACTCATCTTTTGAATTAGAAAAGTTAGAGCCACATACCTTGGAGTTTGGATCTCCTCTCGCCATGAGTAGGGGTGTGCAACGGTTCGGTTCTGTCCGGACCGGATCAAACTCATGAGAACCGCGGTCCATTAGTGAAAGACATGTTAGGACCAAGGACCGGACCATTCTTGCATTTGGTACATTTGGTCCGGTTCGGTCCGGTCCAAATATGAGCTCGGTCCACCATTTCTTCAGTAATTATAAAATTCATGAGGACCAAGGACCGGACCGCATTTTACTCGGTCTGGTCCGGTCCGGTCTTAACAACGGTTTGGTCCGGTGTGGTTCGGTACGGACCGGACCATTGCACACCCCTAGCCATGAGAGCAAAGTGACCTTCTCTGGGATCTGTACTATCTTCTTTAGACAAGCTCCAAGTTTCAACCAAAGTTTCTTCAGTTTTCTTGCTTGATTCAGAACATTGGCATCTGAAATGTCCATGTTTGCCGCATTTGTAGCAAAAGGCAGTAACTTTGCTGCTTGCTTCAGCATCATTAGGCTTATCGAGTTCCGTGCTTCCCTTCTGAGCTTGGGTATACCGTTTGTTCATAGTTCCAGCTCTAGTGCATACCTTTTGTTCTATCGATAAATCTGCACCATTATATAAACCCTGCAAACTTCCCCAAACATCTTTCGCAGACTTACAGTGAGATACACAATTATAATCTTCCATAGCTAGAGCACTCAACAGAATATACATAGCTTTGGCATTTAACTGTAACTTTGTTGTCTTATTCTTTGCCCATATCATGTTTTTATCTTTTAATTCAAGCAACCCATTCTCAATGATAAACCAAAGTTCAGGATCAAGCGAAAGCAAAAATAATTTCATCATATGCTTCCAATAAGAATATTCTTTACCAACAAACCTGGGCGGTCTGAGAAACGCCAACTCTTTGTCGCAAAAGCAAAGAGATTGAGCACTGCTGGTTGAACCGCTTCTTCCCATGATCGATTTCGCCGGAGATCGTTAGACCTTGTTCTATGACGACCTGCTCTGATACCAATTGTAGAATCAAAGTATGGGGCTTTAAAGACTTTTGGATTGGAAGAAGAAAGGATGAAAAAAAAACTGAAAATATTATTAAGGATTTGGAATGAAGTACGTCATTCTGCAGAATCAATATGCTTTTAACAAGAAAGTAAAGAAGAAGATGAAGAACATAAAAAATTTATCGTTTGTTGCATGATTTTTGTGACAGATAAGGTGAAGGACATGACTCCCAAAGTATTGTTCTTCTCTTTGCGCATCATTCGTAGGTTCATGTTTCATAAATTCATTTAGACAAAACCATAAATATTATATTAGATTATGATTATGCTCAGGAAGTAGGCTAAGCCAAAGGATAAGTCCACTAACCAAAACAATATGTACAACATGGTGTTTCGTCATGTCAAATCGATCGATTCACAACCACATATTTGTTGAGAATATGTTGTTCTGGTGAAAGAGATATAGCTAGTGGATAGCATGGGGGGTTAATTTTCCAAATGCATGGTATGCATATGCAAATAGCTTGTTCATATAATATATTCACGATACGCAAAGTTTTACTATTTTGAATTTTGGTGGCATGAAACTGAAATTTATCAGAAGTGTATATTACATTATTTCTATTATAATGCCTTTTTAGACTCGCACAAAACAGACTTATTGTATAACCCGAATAGTAATGAAAGTATACAACTTCACTAACCAAAATAATATGTAAACACATGGTGTTTAAACATGGCAAATTGACTGTGTCACAACCACATAATGTATTGAAAACATATTGTTTTGACGAAAGAGATATATCTAGTGAGTAGTATGGAAGGTTTATTGTCCAAATGCATGGTATGCACATGTAGATAGCTTTTTCATATAATATAGTCACGGTAAAGCCATTGACTTCTATACAAAAAATTCCGTCGTCTTCATTTATTTTGCTTTACTTCCTTAATTATTTTTGTTATTATCATCGATTCTTTTCTAACAACTCTAAGAAGTCATGTGTTCCCTAGTTTTATTTTTTTGGTTAGTTTTATGTTTAATTGTTACAACACATGTATACAAAACGTGTACGTTTAAGGTATAAAAAAACCTGTACAACAGTGATGGTTAAAATGGGCTATAGTCATCGCAAGGTCGCCTGTTCGGTTCTTCATATCGTCTTATTTTTTTAAACACATCCATGTAACCATGTTTCAGCTACGCTTGTGGAACAACGTCGTCCTGGGGACACTCTCGCTTGAGCAGCGAGCACAAACGACGACGTTTGTCATGTCTCGTCGTCTTCCCTGGGAAGTAATTGGAGATAACCGTGGTTTTGATGGCTGTTGGGTTTTGATGATGATAGTGAGATAAATGGTTAGCTATGGGGTAGTTTGGGTGAACAGATGATGGCCTTTTGGATAGTCGAATTGGGGTTTGGGATGTTGATGATACAGTAATTTGAATAAAATTAACCTGAATTTTTTTTCATAACTTTTCATTAGGCAACTAATCCCGTTTATAAGTAATTGATAAATGTTTCGATAAGTATAGAAAGATACAAGCAACATTCATTAAGAAGGGCAGAACCCGTACAAAAAAGCACTGTGTTCACACACTTAGTACACTTGCGTAACAAGAGAAATAACATTAAGGCGAACACTAAGCAACTTAAGTAGATTCTATTGACATTGCTGAAATGGTATTCATTCCGGGAGGAAAAAATAATTTTACCAATAACAGCTCAAAATACGCATCGTTCCAAGGACCCAATGTGACCATAACCTCATAAGAGTTTCCACCAAGCAAGTTGAAATCGGCATTGGCCATGTCTTCATCACTTACTACATCTGCAAGGATTTTGCGTAAGTTTGTTGATGGGAAAACAACCTCAACATCCAAATAGTCATCCTCAATAACTAAGTGGATCAAATGAACTCTACATGCAACACACCATGATGTCCTCAACTCGGTGACACGTCCGGAGATGAGGTAACAAGGGCCCTGGTGTTTAAAATAAGAAATGGATTTTCAAAAAAAAAAATAATAACAAGCATTAACAAACACAATAAGTGCAAACGAGATCGAGAAGGATGAATGACAAAAAAGTTTATTTCAATAACCTCACCGTCACCATTCTCTTGCAACAATATAAGCTCGATTGAATCCAAAAAATTAGACATAGCTACTGCTTCCTCATACATCAGATTTGCAACGAAACCAGGCTCAACCATAAACTCCCTATAAATATAACCATTAGTAATGGCTGACAATAGGAAAAGGAAGCGGAGTAGACTGTCGTAAGGATTAGTTGGTAAACAATACTTACAGATACCATTGCGATACATCATCCATTGTCAGAAAATTACACCACGGAAGTCGGAAACCCTACTCAATTTCTGTTCTTGCACGTACTGTGGATGTTCTATAGGAGTATAAGAATTAAAAACACATTATGATCAACTATTCTAATACAAGGGACCAAATAGTTAACAATCAATTAAAGAAAAGTACATGCGGCGGTGGAAACGTGGCCGGCGACACCGCGTTGTTAATCGAGCAGATCGGGAACGAATCAGCTAGAGCGAATCAGCGGTGAAGGTGGCAGGCGACGATGGTGGTCCGTTCTTCTTCCCACAACCGCTAGAGCGAATCAGCGCCGGAGGTGGCATGCGATGATGGTGGCCCGCTCTTCTTCCCATAACCAATGTGGTTAGTCCTGGCGACTTTCCTCCGCTATTCTTCCCACAACCGCTAGAGCGAATTAGCGGCGGAGGTGGCAGGCGGCGATGGTGGCCCGGAGGAGGAGACCGCTACTGAGCGACCAACGGTTGATTGACCGGCGGAGGCGGAGACGTGCATGCAACGGAGGCGGAGGGGGAGGCGGAGGGAGGAGGAGGGTGGTTGAGTTTTAGTATGAAGGAAAACAGAGAAGCCAGCGCATGGGTAGGGGAGAAAAAGAAGGAAGATGGATCGTTTTCGTGATTTGGTAGGTAAGTAGTCTTCCATTTTTTCAACTTTGTCATTATTGTTCTCTGTTGTTTTTTTACAATTCATTATTGTTCTCTGTTGGTGGAATAAAGAAAGAGACAAAGGGAGGACAGCTGCCGATCTGCTCGACTAAGCCCTATTTGGCCTGGTACAAAAGGCCTACTTAGTTTAGTTTTATGTTTTAATTTTACAAGAACTCATTTATAAATTGTAAACATAATAGTGAAAGTATATTGAATCAAAAAACTTGTTCAGCAGCAATGTTAAAAACTGCACATGGTAATGACCAGGACGCCGGTTCGACCCTCATACCATTTCAAAATTTCTATTTTCAGCTACGCCTATAGAACGACGCCGTTCTCCAGGCCACTTTCGATTCAGAGACGAGCACAAAACGATGGCATTTTTTCATTTATCATCGTCTTCCTTGGCCCCTTCGATTCTCGACATCCCAAATTCTCAATTATCCAGTTGCCGCCATCACCACTCACCACCGTAATCCGACGGCCGTCTCTCTTCTCCGACAACCCCACGTCACCATCCCACCGCCGTCTCTTTTATCCGGAGAGCCCATGTCACTATCCCAGGACCAATCCCACCAGCGTCTCTCCTCTCCGGCAACCCTACATTCCCCTTTCTCCCTGCAATCTTTTGAACAATAGACGGACCAATCATCTTCCTCTCCAGTCAAACATGTTGAACCCACCGCTGTCCCAATCGAATTCCATTATAGGGATGAATCCAGACTAACTGAACCCCGTACCCGCAAGACCTTGGATCCTCTGCCGCATCAACAAATTCACCGTCATCCTCTCCCTATCATCGAGCGCGACAAGCCCAGCTCATCCGTGTGATCCAACCCTGGGAATTTCAAACTCGAATATGTAGCATTCAATCGACATGGGTTTGCTGGAAACTTTTCTGAACAATGATATTGGGTTTAGGTTAGATAGGCTGATTCGAACAAGCTACTGTGTTTTCTAGAATTTAATTGTATGTTGGAAATATGGGAATAGGGTTCTTTTCAGTTCGTTTGTTACTGTGTTGTTATTTCTTCGATTTCAACGAGGGAAGAAGAAGAAGCTTGCTTTTTTTTAAACAAAGAAGAAAATAAAAATTCAATCCGAAAACAATTTCAATGGGCAGACTTTTAACAAAATATGGTTACTTAAACCTACATAGGCATGAGAAAAGGTACTTTAATAGTAAAATTAATGGTTTAAATTGTTGGAGGACTATACCGTATGTATAATTATTAATGGGTACTCATAATTATTGATTAATAATAAATTAAATTAGATTTAATAACAAGCGTTAGATTAGATCTATGGTGTAGAAATCCTGTCGCATAGTATGTGTCTGACGCATACGAGTTGTATCCATATATATATATATATATATATATATGGTGCCTACCCCGGGTGAAATCAGGGGTACCACATACCTTGAGTATGAAAACGCTATCTAAACCTTGAATTAACAAGATTTTTGGGCATGATACTATACCCTAATCCTTAATGAGTGAACCCTAGGTCCTAATTATCTAAATCATAAACTATAAACTCTAAGATGGTGCATTGAATTTTTCCCCTATATTTGGACGAATCATAACCGTCGATTATTGTTTCTAATGAAATTGATCTTGCGGTATAAGAGTTGGAGAATTAAGACCTAGATTTTGATTTTTAAGGGTTAGAGTATAGTATCATGTCTGAAAGATCAGTCAATTCAAGTTCTAAATAGTGTTTTCTTACTTAAGGTATGCGGTATCCCAGATTTCACCCTGGGTACCGTAGAACACCCTATATATATATATATATGGATACGACTTGTATGCTCCTGACACATACCATGCACCAGGCCTTTGAACCGTTGATTTAATCTGACGGTGTTTATTAATTGTATTAAAATTAATTATTTATTAAGAATTATACTACAAATTACACCCTTTAAATAATTATACTTACTATGAAGTCTCCCAACAATTATTATAATTGTATTTTCTGGTATGCTACCTTTATTTCGTAGAGGTTTTGATTGAACTTCGAAGATTTATCATAATTGATAATAAATTTCCATTGAAATTTGGATAGAAAAATTGAATAAGAACTTCATCGTGCAGCATCCCAATTCGACCATCATCATCGGTTCATCACAACTACCCCATTAAGTGCCCTTAATTTTACAATCATCATCCAAATCCAGCAACCATGGAAACCTAAAACCCAAAAGCAACCGCCATTGACTTCAGCTCATGCTCTGCTTGTAAGCTCTTATCGTACTGGTACCAGACTGGTGCCCAAATCCCAATCACGACAAACCAGAAATAGTTGACGGCGTACGATCGACCAAAAAAGGACGCGTGAAAACAGAGGCTGCGGTGTGGCCATTGCGAGAATCGGGATACTAGGCAATTAGTTCCTCCCTCCGTCGTTCTTTATACGGCGAGATCGGGACCACCGATTCGTTCAGACGGCAAAGATTTCGATTAACAGCGGTAGATAACTCACCCTGTTTTGTACTGCGAGATGGAGAAAAGGGTCGAAAAGAAACAAAAGGGATAAAAATCTCGAAGCAGAGTTTCCTCCCATCACCGGAGAGCTCATTCTTTATATTCTTCTCTGCCTCGTTCCGCCCAAGTCATTAATGAAACATATATAGTTCTTTGTGTTTTGGGGAAAGGGACCTTGAGAAAGACCATATTTATATGTTGAATTTTTGATTACTATGACAAGCTGTAACCTGAAACCATGAAATTAACGAGCAAGCTTTGTCCAAATCCTCCTCAAACCATGAAATTAACAGTGTAATTAACCATGTAGAGGCTAGACCCCATTATGGACTAAAATGTAGACTCGATCACCATTTGGGAATATGCTCAGCGTCTCCACCGACAGATTCTTTACCTCGTCAGCGGAATTATCATGGCCGAAGTTGAGAATCGAAACGGAGAAAGTGTAGAGGGAGAATGTGGGAGTGGGAACGAAGAAGAGTCAGGACAAAATGACGGTGCTGCATAACACACGGGTTTTTGTCTACCCTGCTAATCGAAAACCTTCCAGCAGCAACCACCACCACCAACAATGGCGGCACCACCTTCTGAACAATCTTCCCTTTCTTCTCCCGAATCAACAGTGAGGCCTTGTTATCAGTCAAAACCCAGAAATCCCAAACTAATGAACCCGAAACCCCACCATTGTTTCGCCCAGAGGTGGGAAAGGTTGACTTTCAACGATGAATGGACTTCTATTCCTTTGCTGTTTGCATCTCTCCATCCACCGACGACCGAAGAAATGGAGGTGGGAAGTGGAAGCCGGCAGAGCCGTTCTCGTTAGTGCTTCCTGTCATTGTTGGAGGGAAGAAGGAAGATAGAGGACGGGCGAGAAAAGGAAGAAGGAATTTGGGGTTTCTGGAGTAGAGAGATGATAGTGAAGTGGGGTTGCGGTGATGTCGGTGATTGGGATGGTGAAGTGGGGTGGCCGGAGGATAGAGACAGCGGAGATAGTGGGGAAGAAAAGAGTCACGAGAGCCTGTTTGTTGACTGAATTAACCGGACCATAAGCCATTCAGCCCACTTCAGTAATTTCAGCCCAAATCTGTCCGGAGTCCGCAATCAGCCTGTTATATCGTCCTTCGCCTTGCTGTCACTCTCTCTCTAGCTCCAAAAACAGAACCCCAAAAGCAGAACACCTTTTCCTCTAAAACAATGACAGTTGCTTCCCTAGTGCTCCTCAATCAATGTTTTTGAAGCTTCATCATCATATCTACAGTCTACACCAACGGACTTCAAGCTACAACATCAACGGCCATCAAGCTACTTCAAGTGCTCATTTAAACAACTCCATCCTCTTCTCCATAACTTGACGGTTCGGCAACGGGAAAGAAGGATTCTTTTGGGTTGTTGATGGGTCCAGGTTTGCTTGTTTACTCTGTAGATTACAGGAGCTATGGTTGGGTAATCTAAGAGTGTTGGGTTCTCCTAGTTTTCTACAATAGCTTGAGTTATAGTGATTAGGATCTAGATAGTCGGGTGAGTTATAGTGATCGAAATCTGGGTAACCAAGTATTGTGAGGGTTCTAAGAAGGTTGGTTTGAGATCCCAAATAAGTTGTTGAAATGAGTTGTCAAATATAGTTGATTATTGCATACTAAAGTAAGCACTTGTGTTTTATGGTTGTTGTCATACTAACATTGGTAGAGTTGTATCTCGTAGGGCGGTTACGTATTCAACAATTTGGTATTCCAACATTTAAACGCTTAATTGCAACATGATGTGGTTAGTAATACAAGATTGATTTAGGATGTAAGGATATAAATGTTTTTATATTCACGTTTAGGAATTCTCATTTTATGCTTGTTACACTATATTGATTTAGAAAATGCCACACATTTGTCAATTAAGGTTGGCTACATAACTTGGTTTTTCTTTAGGGTACGTTTAAAGTCGGGGATAAAATGTTGGAACTCCATTAATATGTTTTATAGGGTATGTGATTGTATCTGGTGCAGAAGACCACCTGAGTGGCAGGTAGCAGGTCCCGAAGTTGCCATATGACACGAGTGGTTCTTGTAGATGTGGCACTATAGCATTGGCAATTTGGTATTTTTAGATAGAGTGGGTGCTTTTGTGTAGATGTGGCCCCGTAGGTTGTTTGTTGTTGTTTTTACCATCATTTGCACCAATCTAATGGTACAAAACTGTTCTTCTTGTAATCTCGGTTAGATTGTATCAAATTATTTTTGTTTATTAGAATCTCTATCAAAATCTTGTGTAAAGCTAAAAAGTGGTTCTTGTAACCACTGTACCCAAATCATTTATTGGGTAGAATCTGTATCCAAATCTTGTGTGAAGATAAAATGTGATTCTTCTAATATCTGTACCCAATCATATTTTGGTAGAATCTATATCTAAATATTTTGTGAAGATAAATGTTGCCATTTGTAATGTAAAGAATATAGTAATTAATTTATTTCCTTTTAAAAAAATCGTTTGCCCCTTCAGTCTTCTCCGTATCATCTCTTCTAAGTTATTCTTCCCACATTCCAATAGTAGATAATCTCTATATTTGCTCTGAAATCGGTAGCCTGATTGCAAAATTTAAAATGATTTTTCTCTTAGTATTGATCATCAATTTAATTAATGTATGTTACCGAAGATTTCCGATAAAAAAAAGAAGATTCCCATCATTGATTGAAGAAGACAAAATTAGGTATAGTTGTTTCCTTTTTTTTTCTGACGAAGATAGAAGGTTTTGAGGGTAAAAAAGGATAATGATAGGGTAGACAATCAGCAAATAAATAGGAGATCAATTAAATAATAAATATTCAATATTACATTACATTTAATTCTTTCATTCCCATGGCCTCAAAAAAGGAAGTTTATCGAATATAGGTGGTGGCATTGGCTAGTTTCTGTAAAAAGTGGGTCTTCAGAATTTTGTATTTTCTTTTGCATTAAAAATCTTTTGGAAGTATTTTCTTTTCCATTAAAAATCTTTGTAATTTTAAAATATGTACCCAAATGTTTTGTTAAGATATAAAGTGGCTTTGACAAATCCATCATATTTGGTACTATCTGGATCCAAAAATTTGTTGAACAGAGAAAAAGATTTTGGTACTATCTGGATCCAAAAATATGTTGAACAGACAAAAAGCAATCAGATTCTCAAGTTTAAGTTATTTTATTCTAACAGTGAATCAAAGTTTTACTTACCTTTCAACCAAAAAACATTTTACTTGCCTTTAAAGAAATTATTTATCTATTAATGGCTTACCATTAATTAAAATGAAAAGTAGAAGACAAAAACGTGTTGCCATTGGGAATTGAACCTGTATCCAAGGAGTCATATTTCCACGCTAGTTCCGCTACACCAAATGACATTCACTGGCTTTAATTTGGCGTCTTAGTAATTATTTAATATTTTTAGTTTATACGTAATATCTCAAACCATTATCGTGACTTTTCAGATTGGGGTCAAGGTTGTTGGATCCTTGAAGATTATAAATCTCGATCCATAAAAATACTAAGGGATTTGGCGTCGTAGTATAGTTGTCGTGGTATAGTGGTCGACGTAGGATGTATCCCCGGGAAAAATGGCCTCGCCTATTACTTGAGCATAATCATAATCTAATAAAATCTTATAGTTTTAGTTTAAATTAAACTAGGCAACTTGAATCTATGAAAGATGCGCTACAACGATACTTTTGTAGTCATCTCCCTCACCCTTATTGTCACAAAAATCGTGCAACAGACGATAAACATATCCAAATTAGTTTAGGCAAGAGGGTTGATAATATGAAAATCAATGCAATGGACATGTCTTCATAGTCGAAGCAAGGTTAGCTCAAATTTCAAGAAGGCTGGTTTGGGATCCTAGTTATGTAGTGTAATGCGAATCGGGGATCATTTGTCGTCCAAATAAGTTGTTGAATAGAATTGGATTATTGCGTACGACAGTAAGCATTGTGTTTTATGATTGTTTTCATACTAACATTGGTAGAGTTGTCTGTCGTAGGGAGTGTGGTAGCTAGACATTAAATTGACTGGGCTCCTTTTTATTTTCAAAATGCAAAATTCTGTTTATCTAATGAACTTTGAGTTAATTAATGTCCTTAGATGAGCTAACATGAACGAAAGTATGAGGTCCTAAATTCAAAGGATCATATTAAACCTTACATATCTGAAGGATTTTGTTGCCCTGTTTTTTCCCAACTGAGTCCTATGACCCCTCTCCTCAAGAGGTGGCTCATCCACTGCCCCTAGGGCGTTAATGTATTCAACAATTGGAAAATGCAACATTTCAATGCTTAATTGTAACACAACGTGGTTAGTAATACAAGATTGATTTAGGACATACAACGTTTTCAACAGATCTTGGTATTCTCATTGTTTACAACTTGTTAAACTATAGGAAATGAAATTGATTAAAGAAACTCCCATTGTTTACATAGGGAACAACTAACCATCCCCCATTGGCCCATTTTCCCTCCTTGTTTTTTTTTTGAAAAACGAGTTATGTTAGTAGGGGGGAAAAAAGCAAACAATGCATGTTGGCCATGTGTTTTCAAGCGCAGCCCATTCACAGCCCTTCTCTCCCACGCGCATTGGTCTTGAAAATCCAAACCCTAAATTCCATTTTCCCCTTCCGTTCTCCCCAATCCAGCTGCTCCCTCCTTTCGACCCTCACCAAGATGTGATGGGCAAAATAGACAAAAATGCTGGGCTAAGAACTAAATAAATAAGAGTCGATGAAACCCTAGCCGTCACTCATTACACCTTCCCCCTCCCCTTGTTCTCAATCTCTTCTGTTATTTCGCCAAGAACCCAAAGGAAAAAAAATCCTACCCGCCTACCTCTTCATTCCTTCCTCTACATGCCTCCAAGCTCTCGCTTCGTTGTGAGGGGTAGATCGATGCCGCCCTATCTTAATCTTCTTCTCTGGCGCGAAATGGGTGACGATTTGGAGATTGATGTCGGGGAGACATCTGCAAGGAGGAAGGTTCGTATTTTACTCACAAATAAATTTTTTATCTTATTCTTGCAGACTAGTTACCTAATCCAATCCATTTTATTGATCTTCTTTTATTTTCTTATGAGGTTGTGTTGGCGGCAGTTCGGCGGGCAGTCCCAACATGTAGATGTGTCTACAAAGGGCAGAGAAGAACATCAGATGTAGTTGGAGTGTTCATAATAAATATTGTGAAACCATATTCCATCTGGTGGTTCTTTTCCGCCCACTTGACTCCTACATTGTGGAAGAAACTCGCAAAGGCTGCAAGAGATTTGAAAGATTTGAGGTTGGTTTCGTTCTATTGTTGTTTTGTCTATTATTTCTTTTGGTCTGAATCCCTCAACTCAGAAAATTCATTGCTTGCAGAGTTGTGAAGGCCATTGCTGGATTCGGGAGATAGTTTATGTACCTCTGGTTCTATCAAAATTTTGATGGTATTATTTTATTTCCTTCCAGTTTCAAATGTTCATTTGAAAACACATGTATATGCGAAATATTTGGTTGAGGCATGCGCAGATAATGTGATTGCTGTCATATGCTTTCTTGAGGGGTACTAGAGTAGATGATATAGTAAGTCTGGAATGTATTGAAGTTATGTAGGAGTGCGTCATTCATAGGAATGCCCCATTACTATTTAGCTTGAATATGTACCATTGGAACTATGGTATCCTTTATTCCTGAACCCTTCAAGAAAGTGTATGATAGTAATATGTGGTCTGCAGAAGTATTTCAAGCTGGACCATAAAATTTAACAAAATTTCAGTTTTTTATATTTTGCTTTATGTATATCATTTGTTTGATTTGTCGATTTTCTTTCATTATATGTGCATGTCATTGCCATGGAGAGTGTGAAGGGAAGGATGGAATCTGACATGCAAGAAGAACATTATCCAGATGAGTACCCAAAGTAGGATTTGTATGCTTTGTTGTGGTCCCAAGCTTCCATCGGACTTTGTTTCCTGTATTGTGAATGACACTATTTTTGGTGTGTCTGTGCAGGAGTTAAACCCCTGAAGAATTATGTCAAGTGAGGGCAAAAGCGAAGACACTTGTCAGGAGGATCAATGTTAATTGGACTCTGGATATTGCAAAAGGAATGGTTATTCTATATGGGGTCAGACTAGTGAAGGAGGAAGAAATTGGCCCGATTGTGGTAGAGTCAGACTGTAAAAAGGTGATCGAGATACTGAAACATGGGAAAATAGGCAGAACTAAACTGGGGGTCATTTGTTCGGATATGTTCAAGGAGGATTTGTATGCTTTGTTGTGGTCCCAAGCTCATGTGTTTGCTCATCTAGTTTCTGGTTCTGAGGAAACTCATTTTCATTGTAATGGTCTACAACAAAGGGTAGCTGACGTTGTAGCCTTTGAGGCATTTGATTCCTGATTTTAATGAATCCTTATCAGTGGTTTCTCAAAAAAAAAAATACTCAGTATGCACAGTTGTTGCCTTTTATGTATTGGGTTGTTCTGATTAAATATAAGTCCGGCCGATTCATGGAAAAAACAATACAAAATATTAGAAGCTCCCTCCAATATTTTTATTTTCTATAGGAGTTTTACTTTCCCTAAAAAATTGGAGTGCCATGCCTCCTGAAATTATCACAAAATAAATTAAAATAGTAAAAGTTTGCTAATAGTTATTGGCGGTTAAAGAGGGAATTGAAGTGTACTTTTCATCCGTTGAAAACAAAAAATTGTATTTTTGGTATTAAAAAATTTCTGTTGGAAATTTTTACTTTCCCTCCGTTTTATTTTTTATGAATATTCCCTCCTAATTTCGAGTGATATGTCGCGCAAATTTATCACAAACGTAAAGTTATTTGTGGATAGAAAGGAAATTGAAAAGGGACTCGCTTAATTTCATGATTCCCTGTTTTGTTGCTAGAGATAAAATTTAAATCATTAAAATTGTCCGTCTTTATTTTTTCAGAAACGGGACCCGCTTCTCCCATCAATGACCTTCTAGGGTCGGAGGAATTGCAATTGAGAAGTAGCAGGGTCATTTTGTTCATTTCATGGATTTGTGTTGCCTAATCGAATCGTTATAACTTTGATTCGGTTTGGATCAAACCATATATGGCTCGATTCGGTCTTGACCATCCCATTGGACCGACTATTCTTTCATTCGAATAAAATCACTCTTAAAGGACAACACAAGAATTAAAAACATGTAATTACACGAAAAGAAGTAATAAAATTATCCCAATTTAAATACTCCACAATTCTTAAAAACCACATGTTCCAAAATATTATGCAAAAAGCTAAACGAGAACTACGGGTAATTAGCATAAATGGTCACAAACCTTTGCACTTAGTACAAAACAGTCACAAACCTTTAATTTGTAACCATTTGATAACAAAACTTTTTACTTAGAACAAAACGGTCTCAAATTAAACAGTGTGACCATTCCATACCAGTTCAAACTTTTGTTACCGTGTCGTTACAAATTAGACTTTTGGTGACCGTTTTGTAAAATTAAGTTCAAAAGTTTGAACGCTCAATCACCGTTACAATTCACTCTAGTTGTATGGTGGTTTTGTTAATGTATGTGAATGAGATTATGTTGTTTAGGATGACAATGAGAGAATTCAATGGCTCACAAATGGGTTCCAGACTGCTTTTTAGTTGAAAAACTATGTCTACTTTCTTACTTTCTTGGTATCAAAATTGAAAGGTCAACTGAGGGCGTTCTTATTCGGCAAAGCAAATATGTTGATGAACACATGACCTGACATCTTATATGTCGTTCAAGTGGTTAGTGTCATATACTTAATGAACAAACTACCCGACCTCAAAACATGACAAACATTTAATTTGTAACGATTCGGTAACAAACCTTTGTACTTAAAACAAAACGGTCATAAATTAAATAGCGGTGACCATTTTATACAATTTCAAAGTTTTGCTACCGTATTGCTACGAATTAAAGGTTTGTGACCATTTTGTACTAAGTGCAAAAATTTGTTACCATTTATGCTAATTACCCCGAGAACCACTTAACTAACTAAAAGACAAAAGTCTTTTTCTTCAATCTCAAAGGTAGTCTAACTAATTGTCTCTCCAATCTTCTATTTTATTTTCTAACTAATTGTCTCTCCAAACTACTTAACTAATCGTCTCTCCAATCTTCCATTTTCATTATCTCAATCAACTTCACTAATGGACAACACTAAAAGATTTTGTCCCCTAAAATCAATAATGAAATTGTAAACTCAATAAAAATTGGTCATTGCTTTCCATGGGCGTTTCAACTTCTTCCTATGAAAGTGCTAGTGAACTTCATTTGTTTTTCTTGATGCTTCTGTTCTTTGCACCACGGGTTCTAGTCTGATGTTGTTTCTGTAGCAGACCAAAATAAGAAAAAATAATATTAAAGATGTAACTTCCAACACAAAGAATCATCTAATCTTGTTGGTTAAATCATTAGTTGATGTTCATCGCCTGGACGATCATCATGCCGACTAGTACTCCCAGCACTATGTCCTGTATGCTTCTTAGCTCTATTCTCTGCTCCCTTCTCTTGTTGACTAGTATTGCTCCTAGTACATGCCGCGATCTATTAGAGGGCAAATAAACTCTTAAGCTAATAGCCATTTCTAACAAATCGATAATTTAGTGAATAAACAAATGATATATAACCTTTTGTGGTGGCTGACTTTTCCTATGGGCTCTCTAGTAGTATTATGCCTGCTCATTCGTTGCTTCTAGTAAAAATAAAATAACAACTGTAGGTTATTAACTCTAATAACTATATCAAGAATACCTAACCAGATATGCTAATTACCTTTGGGGGCTGACCACCTTGGTCATCATCTCCATCATCGTCGTCTCCATCTTCTCTGTCATCCCCATCATCGTCCCCATCATCCCCATCATCGTCCATGTCATCGTCGTCATCCTCTTCATCAAATTGAAATTTTACCACGTCGGCTGGGGGGTTAGTACAAGTGCTCCTATAATGCCCATCTCTTAGCCCGCAGTTCCCACACTTTCTTCTTTTTTTCTTAAGTTGTTTTTCCTTTTTCCTTTCCTACAGCCCTTAAACCTCACTTGATTTGGGTTCAATACATCTTTGAACTTGTCTAGTATGACAATCCTTTCTCTCTCGGCGGGGGTTTTCTTTACCATCTCCAACTTGTTACACGCTGCTGTCAACTCATCTTGAGCCATTCGATAAGAGAGAGGAGTGTTTGCTCCTAATAAGCAGAATCATTGAGCCATGAACTGTAGCGACCCGTACCTAATACTGAAACTGTTGTCATCCCCCAAGGTACTTGGTTCTGGCAGAGTGTCTAGGGACTTTGGGTTCTTCGAGCAACGTCTGAGTACCAGTTTTTCAGGAATATTCTTCACTTTTTCTTCTTTGAGAACAAAGAGCATATGAACGCAGGGTATCCCAATACTCTTAAACTTTTGACAATTGCACTCCATATCGCTTGTTCAATGTTGTATTTCACCTCTACGACCTTCTCTTTGTTGAACATGGTAACGTAGCGGAATGTCCCCCAACATTTCCTTCACTATCTTCAACGCTCAAATATAGGTTTCGTCAGTCTCATTGGGCAACAGTGCACTGCCGAATAAGCAAGTTTTGAAGTGATGGTTGATACCTACAATGTCAAACAGAAACTCGAAAAAATCAGAATCTTTTGAACTAGCAAGAGAAAAGATAAAACTGCGAGGAATATGTAAACAATGGTAGAGTTCATATAATCAGAAACTTGTGTTACTTTTGTTTACTGTTTTCAAACCCCCATGTTCAAGACTTTTTTACATTAAATCATAAACTAGTAGTTGTTGTTTATTGCTGGATAGGAATTAGAAATAGCTAGCAGCCTCCACAATCATCGAATAAAAAAAGAAGTGAATCATAAGTAAAAGGGGAAGGCTCAAAACCCACACATTGGAAAAGTTATTGGAAGTTTGTATCTTAATTAGCAATTTATGTTGCTGTTTTCTAGATGCCATTATGTGTCTTCAAACAACAAAGCAAAGGATAATACTTAGAGGGCATACTAGGATGGCGTACCTGTAAAAATGACCAGTGGCATATTGTAAATGTTTTTTTGGTACATTGTGTCAAATACGAGCAACTCTCCAAAAGACGAAATGTCGGCTCTGCAAATGCTGTCAGCCCAAAATAAAAAATGGAGCGTTTTTTCCTCATCCATAGTGCATCGGAGGAGGAAGTGTGGGTCTGTGCTTTTCTTTTATTCTAGATAGGCGAGTGCAGTTGCTGCATCACCCTCGCTGATTCTCTGAGCGCGGTCTTTGGTGCTGAAATTTAACCCATCTTTAACTGTATACCCAAGTTTTTCATGCCCTCCAGCACAATGCACAGCAAGCTTAATGGCCTGAGAAGGTTTCATTCCGGCATCCTTTTTAAATCGGAGGTCTGCCTTGTCTGCTTCTGTTAATCCTCGATGCGACCTCAAGTAATGTACCTGATTCTGCCTAACTCTGTCATGACTGTGTTGTGGTTTAAATATATCAGCAACCCACTTATTGTTTGTCTTGTTCAAGCTCACACGAAACAGAGCCCTGCACTAAAATCTTTTGTGGACCTTTATGTGCTCTCTAACTCCCTGACAGGAACAGACAAAGGCTGCACTTGTTACCTCTCCCTGGACGTTCTTAACCTTCCTTGAGCGACGGATAGAAAACCCCCAACTCTTAGCATAGTTGTTGTAGAACGCATATGCATCCTCAAAATCATTGAATTCCTGACCGATAAAAAGAGAATTATGAATAACGTTTGTGTCATCCTCCTGTACAGTAGGACCATCGTTGTCAGAGGTTATTGTTTCTGGTATGATTTCAACATCGCTGTCTTCATTGTTGTTGATATTATCTCCCTCTTCCTCCATTGGTGTGCCGTCTTTTTGCTGTTTGTGGGGAGGGGCTGAATCGGGCGCAAAGCAGGAGAGAGGTCTTTTTGCTATTGTTGTTAACCTAATTCGTTTTTCACGTGTTATTAGTTTTTTCTATTTTTTCCCGTTATGGTGTACAGTTTTTTTTTAATATTTTAGTACTTTAAATTTTTATTATATTGTTTCCCGTTATGGTTACTAGTTGGATAAAGAATGCAGCTAATTAGTTGGATAAAGAATGCAGATAATAAAGAATGCTTGAATTACCGAAAAAAAAATTAATAAAGAATGCTTGTGTTATATATATGGTAGATTCATCTTCCAAATAGGTGATACGGATTGTTTCCATGTTAATTATTACCCGTATACAATATTATTTTCCTTTTCCATGTGGAGGTTAATGAGGAAGATAAAGTTTCTAGTATCCTTATAGAGAAAAACACTCACCCGTTGGCCCTATTTTAAGACTGCTACCTCCTTTTCTGCATTCACCAGGAGCTCATTCAGGACAGCAGTACAGGAGCTCGATCAGGGGGCAGAAACCAGAAGCAATATGCAGAACGATAAGGACGGCAGGATGATGATAAAATACAAGACTACAAGTTCTTCCAAATTAATGGTTCGTCAATTTGCATTCTTTTGTTTTTTCCTTTTCTCCATCGTTGGCAGATTATTCTTCCAAACTAAATAAGGCATTGTGTTTTATTACGATGAATTCTTTGCTAGAGAAGGATGAATGTCGAGGAAAGAAAGGTAGAACTGAAGATGGTGTGATCCAGATTGATGGTGATTTGCAGGCAGATTGGAATGACTTAGTTTGGAAAGGCCGTACCGGATTTTCTTACTTACAATTCGCCAAGAAGGTATGATAATCTAGCCCACCAATTTTCCCCGCTTAGAACAAAATCACTTGTTTTTATCCTTATGTTTTGTCTTCTATTGTAAGGTGAAACAAAGTTTACACTTCCAACACATCTCAAGTACACTAGAGAGGAAGTGAACCTTGCCCACTACATATTTGCGAAGGATCTTCCACAAAAGGAAGTCCTGGTCGAAACCATGATGCAATCTTATACACGAAAGGTGTTGTGGTCCCTCTGCCCTAAGTCTAATGTCGATGATGATGTAATTACAGCCATGGCTTGCCAATTGAGCCTGGAGGAAATTTGGAGGGATGTTGGAGATGGAAGAGTAGTCTATTATCTGCCTGCTGAACTACAAGTATAGTCCCATTTACTTTGTATATTTATTTTAGGTGCAATATTCCATTATCCTATTAAATAGGATGAATGTGTCATCTTCTATTTTAAATGAACCATGATCAGGAAATGGTAATTAACTATGACATGACATCAAAAAAAGCTCTAGAGTGTTACGGGGCAAAGTTCTTGGCAAGAGCTCACACGTGCATGAAGGTTTCTTCTTAACAATTCCTTTCTTGTTTCATTGAAATATTCCTCAATTACTGTTTCTAGCTACTGTTTGAATTGGATATTCGAATAAATTAGATGTTCCATCAAGCTTTTGATATTTCTGTAAATTGTATTTTACAATGCTCAGCTGAGTTTGGTCTTTCTCGTCGTTATTTAGGTGTGTCTGCCCATGAAAGATGCAATGGACGATGATGCAGTTCACTGGTATTTAACTGTCATCATGCTGGACGACAAACAAGTCCATCTATTGGATTCGTATCTTTCTAAAATCGCCAAAGATCTCGTAGAAAAGCAGTAGTAACTATGGTATGGTTTGACCTCCTGATCCGAATACAGTTATATCTCTAAATTGATTTGTCTTTTCATCTATTTCGAATAAAGTGATTACTGCTTATGTAGACCGAATTTCTTGATGGCTTGTTTGAGGATCTTTATCGGCAAGTGGAACCAACACTTGATCCACCTGTGTTGGAACAATTTTCTTTGACATTTCCTTCAATTCCCAAACAACGTCACGAGTAATAATTGTTCGTTGTGAATAAATTAGAAACATACTTAGATACCCACAACTCATATGATGCATCTTATTTTATGTAGGTCTGGTAGTGGGGTTTGGGTGTGCTCATGGATGATGGGTGCATCTTGGGATGCTTCTTATAATATATGGGTAAGCAAGAATTCTCCTACTTGTCGTTGAAGGAAAATAACCTTTCGAAAGAGCTACTAAGCCTCATTGTCATTGTCAAACTGTTGCAGTCATGCGGAGATATAAGGAGAATGCAACTAGTTTTTGTATCTGGTCCAACAGCCTACAAATTACATAAGACATGTCATCATAGAGGAAGCAAAAAGGAATGCATCAAGATTTGTTGCCCAGACTCGTAGGTACAAGGAAGAAAGCCAAACGAGCGTAATCCAGAACTAGAAGATT